GTGAGTATGCCACAAACTTCATCCGCCACATTTGAATCAGCACTATAACCTGGCCAATTGCATAATTCAATATTATGTTGTTCACACCATCAGAAACATAAATAAATCCATATAATGCTTGTATATCGTCAGATAGAACTTCATTCACTGTGTTACAATACGTTTCACCATTTAACCATAATGATCGAATCGATGAAATACATATTCATTCCACTAAATGAAATCGATTAAATTAATGTGAGCTCGTATAGACGAAATTTCCTTTCTTCGAGTCGATTCACCTCGTTTGCACCAAACAATTTGATTTGTATTTCTTAGACCAATATAACATTCATCTTCAAAAATGTAATTTTTTATATCAGCACGATGGTGTAATGAAGTATATTACTTCTAGCCAACACTTATCCTTCAAAATAATTACAAGTGCAGAAGAAACGTTTTTCGAACATGAAAAGCGTATATTTAAATCTACTTTGATCATTTTTATAGACGCCCACCATTCCCCTCAGTCGCGAGGCGATAATCAAATACTACGTAGTTGATTGATAACTATTTCAAATATGTTTCACTAAATACAGTTGCGTAACACGTAGGATATCCTAGCTCCGGATTCGAGTATTTCTTGGCCGGATTCGCTTGTGAAAGCTTTCCAACTTTGCCAACATGCTTTCCAGATGCAATTCGACGAGCTCTACAACTTTGTCTAACGACACTTTTTTGTCAGACAATCCCTTCCCACCCAAAAATGCCAAAAACCGGCCCCAACCTATGAAAAATCGGGTTTTCGGCGTCAGTGTTTCTAATGAGAATTTTTGGCAGAGTGCGCACTGCGCACTTTGTTTTTTAGACTAATTCGTTCGCGCACTCTGGAATTTTCGACAAAGTGTACGCAGTGTGCATCATCTAGAAAACAAAAGAATATTGAATGCAATTAATATCTTCTTTGTAAACGTTTTCATTTCAATGTTTAATAAATAGAAATAGATGAAATAGATTATGTATAATCAATCCTCATGGATAAACAACTGAAAAAACACTCATGCAATGAGAATTACAAATACTCATGCTAATATGTACCTAGTTGAATGTTAGTGATAATTTTAAAAAGTTATTCGAAAACAAAACAAAAGAATATGTACATTTCTCGATCTATCTTCATGTTCAGCTTCAGATTATTGACTATGCATGTCTTAAATCAGTTCAGGTGATTGTTCTTTTCCAATACTATCATCTTCTGTATGCATATCGACGTGATCATCGCAAAACCAAGTTAACGAATCTGTTGGAATTGATAACTTAATTCGACAATAATTACAAAGCCACCGGGAACATCCTTCATTATCATTGATCCAAGAATAATACTCATTTTGATGACAGCATTGGATGGCATCTCGTTGCATTGGGTCATCGTATGAGATCGTTCGACGACAATTATTGGCACATTTCACGGCTGTCGATTTTGGTCTTTTCGGTTTACTTGAACTGAGAGCATGGTTTTTCGTTGTTTCAGCTCTTCTTTTTTTTGTATTACTTTCACGAGTTTGCCTTTCAGGCTCATAGTCGTCCGGCACATCTACTAACAGTCTTGTTCGTTTCCACCGGCGGTTCTCATCTGGATCATTCCACAGATCAAATGATTTCGCGACAACTTGATGACATCTTTTGCTAAAATAACCAATCATTAGAAGAAAAATGTCTTGTATTTTCTTGTCCATACCTTCGAATATCATCGGGTAAAAGCAGACGAACTGCCAGTAAAGTATTCAGAGTGTCAATCATGAGTCTCGAACGACCATTTGTTTGTATGCGATTCGCAGCACTGAAACCACGCTCGCATTCGGCCGAATTTGTCGGGGAGATCAAGTAAATATTTAATAACAAAATAATATTTTTGTAGTCGTTAATAAAGTTGGTATGAATTGATTGTTGCAGCAAGATGAATTCTTTCCAAAATAATTTTCTCGAACATGTTTTCCCATCAACAGCAATGTATGAAATTAATGATGGACGTAGAGATTCCCATTCTGTGGCAACCTTCTGTGAATCAAAGCTATCGAGTAGATGATACTTTTTCGAGAGGACGGCTAACTGTTCACGCCCGTAACCGACTTGACGAACACGTTGTTCGTTTTTATGCATATATGCTGGATCAAATAAATTACTTAAACCTTCTTGCACCTTGGATGTAGAGAAACGTCGTTCGAGTTCTGCAAGAAAGCGTTCGATGTGAAAGTGACAGTTTTCTTCGGCAATTTTTCGATTTTTTGTATCAACAAAGAAAGCACCGTAAGCTTTATTTGATGTAAGTTGAATGTATTGGGATAAAGACGGACCCCAAGCATAGGCATGTGTTGAGGTCATTGAATTCGAGTTATTGTCAATGTGTTGATCAAAAGTTAATGGTGGCGTAGTCGATAACCATCCGTTCAATACACTCTTTTTCTCCTGAATTTTTTCCTTCAAAATCGTATAAGAAATATTATCATCTTGCATCATTTTTGTCAGTTCACCTAAACAGTAAACTAACGTTAAAATGAATTCTCTACCTGAGAGCAGATTATCTTACCCGACACACATTCTTGTAAGTCATGATGAAAATGAAGATAAAATAGGAACGAATCGTTGAGAATGGAATTATATAAGTCGAGTGCCTTTTCACGATCTTGAAGACTGAAATCTTGATCCTCAGAAATCTGTTTCAAGGTAGCAAACAAGGCTTGATGACCTAAAACGGACGCAGTTGTTAGCTTGCGTTATTCGGAGAATAAGATGGTATCTTTACCAGGCTCAGTATTACTGATGATGGGTTTCAAACAACCGCGAATAGATGACCATCGAATATCAAACAGATGTTTGAATTTGAGTTCCGGAAGATCAAGAAAATTTTGCCAATATTTCAACGTTGATAAGCGACTTGCACTACGACTGAAAAAGTTGTAAATTTGTCCCAAATTTGATTCAAACTGAGCCACGTCTTCTCGAGTTCTCACACGATTAGTACCATCCTCTAAAATCGAAAAAAGAAACAAATAGGTTCGAGTTCAACTATTCTCGAAATATCTAACCGATCAATTCTTTCCCAGCATGGCTACCGACGAGTGCGAATGAATGAGCAGCACAAGTATTGAGTTCAAGATAATCAATTCCATATTTCTTTTTCAATTTAGCAGCAACACCATTGTGAATGCCTGATAGTAAAAAAACATAATTGTCTGTGAAACAACAAATCTCTTGAACCTGTAAATGTCGAAGCATTATCCGTAGCTAACCAGCATGTTTTTCTCACATTTATTCCATCTTCATCCCATAAAGCACCCAGTTTGTCGACAATATTTTGACTCGATCCGTCTCCATTCATGTTCATCAAACCATAGAAATCAGTTTTTTGTTCGTAATTATCCACATAACGAACATAAACAATGCAACTTTTTTCACAAGTACGAGATGTCGATTCATCCATCATCCAGCCTGTAAAGAAAACGTGTACGAAAAGCCAAAGAAAAATAAAAATAGTCACCTAGTATAGGACTTCGATTTAGTTTTTCAACTAACTCTTGATGCAAAATTCGAGCAATATGTTGAAGAAAACATAAAGCCGCACAGTCATTACGGTAACTAACACCAGATACTTCTGCAGGAAGTAGATTGATTCCATTCTTTTCTTGTAGATTGCACAACGTTTCAAAGCTGTTAAGTGGATAGTCCTGCTGACAAATAAAGATAGCACTGAACATAAGATTTTCAATCGATTGTTGGTGTTTTGTGTTCGTTCTGGATTGAGTTGTTTCCCAATCAGGCTGGACTTTAGATTTACAATTTAATTCAAGCTGTTGAGCTTCAGCATGCTTTTCATTATATAATCCATGTTCCTTGATTTTGTTCAATGCTAGCACAGAGTAGTCGTAAGTTGCCCATGGGTTCACTCGTCCATTGGCATTCTTTATCATTCGATATTTGTTGCAAAGAAAACACCCAATCGTAATTTTACCATTTTCATCTTCTTTTTTTCGAAGCCAACATTGTCGGCTCTCTTGTAATTCATTTAATGAGTTCAATATCAGTGTTCGATAATATGTTTCAGGTTCTTTTTCCCATTGAGATAAATATCCAGCTGCACGACGTTTATTTGTTTGTTTCAAAGATGACGGTTCGAACGACATACCATGTATAATTTGGCCTTTTCTTTCGATACAATTGTTGTTCACATTAATTGGTGAAGACATGAATGGAGACGTCAACGTGGACTCACTTTCAAGATCAATGATTGTCGGTTCTTGTTGTTGCTGGATCCGATTGATTGATGCCAGAGCAGATGATTTGATCACATAATTATCAATCGATTTCATCAAGATTGATTCAATCAATGTCGATGCTGCGAATACTTATGGATTGAATTATTTTTAAATTTTTTATATCTGTCTTCAATTGAAACAAAAAATGAATCTAGTAATAAAAAATTAGTAAGAATTTCGTAGATTTCCTTTGTGAATTTAAAAGAAGAACCTTGTAAGAATTCTTTCTTCTCTTATGCTTCTCTCTTTCTGTCATTGTTTACTTTTCACCTTTTTCTCTCATGCGACATCAGCAATGTTAAGTCAGCAAGCTCCCTATTTGATAAGAAAAGGACCAAACATACAAAACATGTTTGGACTGGAAGTCACTACTATCGCTATCGTTCGATCAAGCGCCATTTTCTTTGCAGAGGAGAAATGAACATGTGTAATGCCCAGTGTTTCTAATGACAAAGTGCGCTATATAGAGTAAAGTGCACGGAATATCTGTTTTTTTCAAGCGCACTGTGTTTCCACTCTGAGTAAGAAAACAAAGTGCGCACTGTAAACTTTGAAGTAAAGAAATACACTATGCGCTGCATATGTTTTTTTTCGGCATTACCAGTGTTTCTAATGAGAATTTTTGGCAGAGTGCGCACTGCGCACTTTGTTTTTTAGACTAATTCGTTCGCGCACTCTGGAATTTTCGACAAAGTGTACGCAGTGTGCATCATC